CGAAATGGAAGTAAGCTCAACAATTATGAAACAAGAGATTCCTCGAAACCCAACTTTTCTTCGCATATTTATTTAATAACTTTGTCTTGTTTCCAAGGGACTTCAAAAAGCACCCTGCATACTGTCTCCTGCCGGTTTTGTCATGTGCTGGACCGGTGGCAAGATGCTAAAAGAAAAAATGACGAGGTCAACCTTAATCTGGGCAGCGTAAAAAGTCTAAGACTAAGTCAAAAGGCTATAGCATCTTGATTTCCATTAAAATGAAATATGTGAGTAACTTTCGAGATTATGAGTTGATATTTTTTATAAGGAACAGAGTCACTGGAGGCTGTTTAAAATAATCTAGGGCTGTATTTAATCGATTAACAGGGATGGACTTCATCAGTATTTTTGACAGATCCTAGTTTGGCGCTAAGACTGGCATGACGAAATGACGATAGCAAATAGGATGCAGCTGAAACACCATAGAATGTACCAAGCCCAAGGTACGATAAAGTAAAGTAGCATAGGTTCTATGGCAGAGAACCTCGAACAAGGTATATTCAGATACGAAGACAAACTTGGTTTCGATGAATCTCCTGAGATAACATTGTTAGGGGGACCTTCATTTCGAATGAAAGTGCATGAAGAAGAGATTCGTTGGTCGATCTCACCACATAAGGATGGATGAATATCGTATAAAAGCCAATTGGCTTCAGTACAATGAGTTTCATCCGTCCTCATCTTGACAGATCGACCAAAGAATCTCTTCTTCATGCACTTTCATTCAAAATGACGGTATATTCAACACGACCAAGTTGGAAAAATTGAGGTAAAACCACATAAAAAGCCTGATAGTTGAGTCTTCCATAGTGGAATGAGCAGAAGACCACACAAAATTCGTGAAACTTGCATCAATCTTGCCTTCCAGAAGGGTTAAAGCAATTTTGGCAACCAACTAGTCTGACGGCTAATGAAAAGGTTCCCTGAATTGAGACGCTTACTCTTGTCACAGCCGGTTGCCAAACTGCCCAGTTGAGAGGCGTCACTCGGCCGCTTCCAGGCCACTTCGTAGGTGAACTCACACGCAGTTGAATTTTGGCTCCAGGTTACTATGGCATCGGTCGAGGTCGCCGCGGTAACCGAGATAGTCGAGGAAGGGACGAAATACGGGGCTGACGGGGGGGAGAAAGAATGAGATTTATGAAATTTCCCCTCTCCTCATAATTGTTATATTTATTTTATATATTTCGTTTAAGATGATGAGCGACTGGTAATACAATTTTCCCACATTGATATGAGTAGAGCTGACGTTTCCACTGAATTTCACACAGCCTTGCTTGCTGAAATGATGTTGTCAGCCAGGGCGAACACGTTTTGGAAAAGCAAGGCTATGCGAAATAGAAGGAAAGCGTCAGTTCTATTCATATTATTGTGGGAAAATTAAACTACCACTTCTTCATCATTTTAAACGAACTAAAGTGAATACATCTCATATTCCTCGCGTGGTTAGACACATCATCTCCGGGACAATAATGAGGCGTCTTTGTCATTAGATTGTACATACATTTGTATAATACAAACGTCGGAATAAAAGTTGGTTTTTGCTGAGTCGTTCTGTTCACAACTGATTTACTGGTAGTCTCGAAACTCTACTCTCGAAACTCGAAAATAAAATTTATTTTGTCCTTTACAATTCT